TTGATATAATACAGAAATTCTGAATTTTATTTACATAATATGCTTGAATTTAGAGTAGGAGAGCCAATCCAACTCCAAAGCCAGCTCCAGTTAAATGAATGGGGACTGAGGTATGTGAAGAAATAAAGATAAAAGGGTACTATGAAAAAACAATATAGAGAGATTTAGACTTTGATACCACACAGTGAGTTATTGTTTGTTTGATGGTCCTCAGGGTAGCTATTCATTCTTCTTCAGGAATCCATATGTCCAGTATTCTTTGCTGAGTTTACCTGTGAAGACAAAAAACAAAACACTTCTCTTTCCTTTTAGGAGGTCACTTTACCCATGGTAGAATATGAATTTGTAGATGATCTGTTATCTTCCTCCTCCTGAGATGTCTTCTGTTCTGATCGAATTTTAATTAATTTGATGAAACCCAAACCTTTTCTTCTCCTGTGGAAACAAAAGCATAACCCCTTCCCCAATGTAACACATATCCTGGTTTCCAGACTGAGGTCATAACATCCTTAAAATACACCGGTTGGTTCAGTTCAGAAGTCTTCTCTGTAGTCCAGCGTCTTTCTGCTGCAGTTTGTCCTTTTTCATCAGAATTAAGAAAATTCAACGTTAGTAAAGCATTATGTAACCTGTGTTTAGGTGTCTTTGTTTTCCCTGGCTGTTTATGAAGCATCTCTTTTAAGGTTCTGTTAGATCTTTCAATTACTGCTTGTCCTGTGGGATTGTAAGGTATACCAGTTACATGTTTTATATTATAATATTTGAAAAATGTTCCAATTTACTGGAGACATATGCTGGTTTATTCACAAAATATTGACACAAAGTTGGACTGTTTAACATACCTTGAGGTAGTACCTTCCACTGGAATCTCTGTACCGGACGGGAATTATTATAGGTAGGTACCGTGAAGGCGAACTTTTCTCTGTCGTTTTCTTGTAACGGTATGGTGAAGAAACAATCTTTTAAGTCTATAACTATAATTGGCCAATCCTTAGGAATTAGAGAAGGTAATGGCATCCCACGTTGTAGAGACCCCATAGGTTGTATTACCTTGTTGATGGCTCTAAGATCTGTAACCATTCTCCACTTTCCAGACTTCTTCTTGACAACAAAAACAGGTGAATTCCATGCACTAGTTGATTCCTCAATATGTCCAGCATCTAGCTGTTCCTGAACTAACTTCTCCAAAGCCTCTAACTTCTCAGATGTCATAGGCCATTGACCCACCCAGACGGGTTCATCTGTCAGCCATTTTAATGGTAGAGCTTTTGGTTGCTCTGTAGGTTTGGCACTAGCATCTTGCTTCTGTACAGCCTGTACATTTGGCATCTGTTTTCTGTACTGCCTTACTATATTCTTCCTACCACTAAGAGCTTGTCTATAATTCCTAGCTGATACAGGGGGAATGTTAATCTGCGTATTCCATTGCTGGAGTAGATCACGACCCCAGAGGTTTATAGCAATATCTGCAACATATGGCTTTAACCTTCCTCTCTGTCCTTCTGGCCCAATAAAGTCAATCCATCTAATACTCTGTTTAACTTCAGATAGGGTTCCAATCCCTAAGAATTGAACGTTAACCTCTTTTAAAGCCCAATTGGGGGGCCAGGACTTCTGATTAATGCTAGTGATGTCACCTCCGGTGTCTAAAATGCCATTAATCACCATATTATTTACTTTACTGGTAACTTGGGTCTATGATATTGTATAGAAGTTTGCCAAAATATATGTTTTGTATCTCCTCCTGATGTAATTGATTCATCCTCTGGAGCTAATGTATTATCCAGTGCCGTATTATTTACAATGGGCCATGGATCTTCTAATTGTCCTGGGAAAGGCTGTCCTCCACTGTCACTGGGAATGACCGGATAATCTTTCTTTCTGGGGCCCGTTTGAGCCCCTGATCCCCGTTTCCCAGCTTTAAAGATCTGCCTCGTCTATCTCTTGTGGACCAGCTTTCGTCAGTCCAATGTTAGCCCTTTCCACACCTCCTGCAGAGACCAGGAGGCTGAGGCCTTCTGTTTGATGCATTCCTGGTAAAAGCATTATTTCTAGGAATGCGTTGTCTACAGTTCCTACTAAGATGTACTATTTTACCACAGTTAAAGCATGTGGCATCTTTATGTCTGTTAAAATTCTTGGAGATTGCCTTCCCTACCCAGGCCTCTATATCATCACAGGTAGGGTATTTGGCATCCTGGTGCCTTCTCGAGCCTGTAGAAAAAGCTTCACCTACCCAAGCTCCCGTATTCTGATTTTTACATTCCAGGTTCGCTGTATGTAGGACCCATTCCTCCAATGGCACTGATCTTATTTTTAATGACCAAATTACCTGCCTGCACTGAGGATTTGCGTTCTCATATGGCAAAGATTCTATAAGAAGTCACCTAGAATCTGGATTTGCTACCTGTACTTCTATTGCTCTGGATAATCTCTCTAAAAATTCAGTGAACCTTTCCTTTGGGCCCTGCAATACCTTGGTATAGGGTTGCATGATCTCTCCTGTTTCACAAACCTTATCCAAGGCATTTAAAGCAGCTGTATGGCATAAAGACAACATGTGCTCGTCATATGCAGATTGAACCTGCGTGTCAGCGTAAGGACCCTCCCCAAGAATCTTGTCTTGGGGTACTTCATGACCGTTCTTTAATTCCTGAGTCTCTATGGCTTTTGCTTCTTGCTTCCATAAAGCTCTCCATTGAATTTGACAAGAATTTTCGAGCACTGCGGAGGCTAATTGGGCCCAGTCTTTTTGGGTTACAGTGGCCCATGAGGTTAGGAGCTCTCTGACAAAGGGAGAATGAAGACCATACGAAACAATGGCCTCTTTGATTTCCTTTAGATCCTTCATCTGTATAGGTTCCCAGTGATAAGCAATGGGACCATTTGATTGTTTTTTTGTTGCTGGTTTTTCTGTTACAGATACTGGGAAAACCATAGGTGAATGGTAGCAACCATAGGGAGATCGTTCCAGCATTTGAGAGGTGTTGGGAAACTCCTGTCTGGACCTGTTGACTGTATGTCTGATTCTGAAGTATCAGATTGAATGTCTCCTAAATCCTGCAGTCTATTCATCATTGTTTCTCTGAGCTATTGAAGTTCTTGGGACAAATAATTTTCTAAGGACTTCATGGAATCATTCATTTTTTTGCATTCATCATTTACACGTGATTCCAAATATTTAATATTCTCATCCTTAGAAAGTACCTCAGTGGCATGTAAACTGCCTTCCACAAATGACATTCTATCAGTTAGTTTGTCATTGCTCTCAGACATGGAACAATTCTTTTCTGTTAGCATTTCAATCATATGTTCCAGTCTTTGTAGTTTGCTAGTGAAATCATTGAACATGGAACAGTTTTGTTGGTTAAATGTTTCAACATTATGTTCCACTTTTTCAATTCTATCTGTTGAACACATTTTTCCTGAAAGTAATTCAATTTTGTGTTCCGTCTCTTTAAACCTGTTTGTCAGACCTACATTATCATTTTTAATATCCTGAATATTTTCTACCAACCTTTTCTTACTGTCCTGCAAGGAATTTTGCATTTCCTGAATTGTTTGTATTAGGATTTCAAAACTATCCTGCAATGACCGTATGACCTGTATAAGTTTCGTCCTATTTTTGAGCCGTTTCTTTAGCAAAATTATATTGATTATGAAACTAATAATCACCATCGTGGGTATGAAGTACCTTTCAGGTAGGTCCTCAACCCTATCTAAAATCCCATCCATAGAAAAAACAAGAAAATTCTTAACATCCAGCATCGTAATGTTAGCTGTTGACATTGTATAAATCAGTTAAGTTTGTTACCAGTGGAGTAATTCAGGCCGAAATCAACAGGCTGCCAGCGAAAGAGCATGTGGCTGAATTCAGCAGGCCGCCAGTAAAACAGCATGTGGCCGCGAGGGAAATCCCGGAATACCACCTAACCTTACTGGCAGGTAGAAGGCGCTGGTTCCTGGCGGCAGGAATCGTGCTTTGCCGAGTGAAATGGTGAGGAACTTAGCGAAAGGAGAGTCCACGTGTGCCTGGTCGGGCCGAGGAGCAGCCAACTTTCTGGGCGCCTGGATCCGGATTCCAAAACTCCTGACACCAAACTGATGCCAGATGAGCCCAGTAGTTTTCCCGCTGCCAAACAGGAAGCCGAAATCCACGAAAAGAGAGCAAGACTTCCTGCGTGCTGTCTTTTATGCCTTCCCCCGTAATGCCCCCTAGCCATGCCCAAAAGTGGGCCTGGCTAGTGACATAGTTCACCGCCTACGTACGTATACGTCTTTACCTCCGTCCGTATACGTCTTTAGTCATGCCTAAAGTGGGTGTGGTTAGCGGTGTGGTAAACCGCACTTACCTCATCTGTATGTGCTTCTAGTAAGTCACATGGTTAATGGCGGCATACAGGCTTCCTCCTACAGTGCATGTATGCAATGTATTTTGATACTGTTCACCACCACTGTTTTCTTCCAGCTTCCCCTGGGACCTTCCCACATGTCTCCTTCCCAACTTCATTTCTTCTTACAAAAAAATTAACAGTTCACTGAGTGTAGAAAGTGCTGTCCACCAGCACACAGATGTGGGGCCAGTTAACTGGGGACAAGAACTACCCACCAACAGCCACCCTGCCCCCACAAGATAACCATTCTTTTGTTTTCTGGTTTGAGATATGCTCTTACAGTGTAGACCAGGCTGGCCTCTAACTCTCAGAAACCCAGCTGCCTCTGCCTCCCCAGTGCTGGGGTTAGAGACTTGGGCCACCAGGCTAGACTGAGTGTCCTTTTAATGAAGGGGATTGCAATTGTAGGTTTCAGAAGGGTCCTTCATACTGAATCCCTAACCAGCAACTGATGATGCTGCTCTACTCTGCTGCTGATTGGCTCCTCACACTGACTTTACCCCATCAGCAGCAGAGCAGTGAATGCCCTGGTTCTTACTATCCTGCCAATGAGTAAAGAGGGGAGACAGTTTCTCCTGTGTGAGTTTGTCTGCTCCTCCTATTCAGGTCTCTCCTCTCCTCCACCATGATGCCACTGTGGCTCCCCAGAGGCTCCTGTGTGGCAGCTGTGGTCCTGGCCCTGATGGTGCTGATCCCTCCGGTGGCTTTGGTCAGGGACCCCCGACGTAAGTGCACATCTCAGGGGCCGGGCTGCTGGGGGTGGAGGTGGGGGAAGGAAGGGGCTGACTTCCTCACTGTCCTGGTCAAGCCCCTTTGAATCCTCTGAGATTTTCTGTGACCACCCACATCCTCTCATGAAATCCAAACTATTTCCCCCAGTAGGAGCCTGGATGTTTGTTCTTTCAGATCTGTGTGAGAGCCTCCCCCCCAATATCAGTCACTGCCTTTCAGTTTCTTCAAGTGACATCTCCAGCCTTGTGTCACATTCCCCAGAGTATCACAGACTCTCAGGAACAGGAGGGCATCCCAAGGACGATCCCTGTGCATCCTCTGTAGGCTTTGAGGTTGCTGCCTGGGTACCAGGGAGGCTGAGCCCAGGGCTTCTCTGTCTCTCTGTCTCTCTGTCTCTGTCTCTGTCTCTCTCTTTCTCTCTCTCCCTGACTCCAGTGTCTATGCAGCCTGTGCCCTCATGGGGGCTCTGCTGGGTGGTGGTCAGTTCCCTTTCTCCCTGCAGCTAGGCAGTCTTAGAGAAGCTGGGCCCTGTGAGCTGTTTCTAAGTGTGTGAGGCCTCTTCTGAGAACCCAGGGTGGGTTAGAGCCTCTGATGTTTGTATTTTGATCCTTTTGTATTTCCTGCTTTCCTACATGGAAAGGACCTGACTTCTCTCTGCATCCTGTGATCCATTTCTAGTTTCACGGACCATATCTACACCAAAAACACAGGGAAATCAGAGTCTGGGGTCTGCATACGGGATATAACAGGGTTGTTAACACTGCTAAAACAGTCACCCCAAGTGGTGGGACTGTAGAGGAGCTGTCCGACCCCTCTGTGCTTCAACTGATGTAAAATGGGGAAGAGAGGATGTTTTTCATAGAACTGTTTAGGGATTGGCAGGGATGGCTGTGCAGAGCATGAGGGGCCTCCTGCCACACTGTGTGTTTCCTCTCTGTAGGTGTTATCATCTCACCCAAGAAAGGACACAGAAGGTTCCAGAATGCTTCTCACCTCATCGTCATACTCCACAGACCAGGCGCCTGCCCTTGCATCATTGTCCTTCACACAAACTACTCTGTTTTATTAATTAATTAATTAAAATGGTTTATTTAATGTATGAGCACTCTATCTGCATGTCCACCTTTGTGCCAGAAGAGGGCATCAGATCCCACTACAGATGGTTGCGGTTGCTGGGACTTGAACTCAGGACCTCTTAACTGCTGAGCTATCTCTCAGCTGCGGCCCTCAAGCCCGTGCACTGTTGCTCATGATCTCAGTGCTTGCACGAGGTGTCACCTCAGCAGAGATGTGCCCTCCCCTGACACTGGCAGTCACCCTCTGCTTCTGGCTCATGTCTGTGACACATCTGCATGGTCACTCCCCACAGGGCTTCTGTCCCCTCCTGTCACTCAAGTCTTCCTGTCATTGGAACTCCACCTCTCTCCTGCTTGTTCCTCACTGGAAATTTTAAGCTCCAGATTCAGGGTGGGGTTTGTCTCTTTTCCCTCTTTGGATTCCCTGGGCAGCACAGGCTTGCACAGGTCAGCGCTGAGGGAGATTTCCTTGTTCTACCTGGTGAGTCTAGGAGGAGCTTGAGCATGAGGGGTGGAGGGGTGGAGTCTTGTGAGCTGGTGAGGTGAGTGCTGGCTTCCAGCTCCAGGTGGGGCAGGTGTGATCAGAGAGGGGCAGGTGTGGTCAGAGAGGGGCAGGTGTGATCACAGGGGTGCAGGTGTGATCACAGGGGGCAGGTGTGGTCAGAGAGGGGCAGGTGTGATCACAGGGGGGCAGATATGGTCAGAGAGGGGCAGGTGTGATCACAGGGGGGCAGATATGGTCAGAGAGGGGCAGGTGTGATCACAGGGGGGCAGGTGTGGTCATAGGGGGCAGGTGTGATCACAGGGGGGCAGGTGTGGTCATAGGGGCAGGTGTGATCACAGGGGGCAGATGTGGGGTCACAGGGGGCAGGTGTGTGGTCACAGGGGGTCAGGTGTGATCACAGGGGGGCAGGTGTGGTCAGGGAGGGGCAGGTGTGATCACAGGGGGGCAGGTGTGGTCAGGGAGGGGCAGGTGTGATCACAGGGGGGCAGGTGTGTGGTCACAGGGGGGCAGGTGTGGTCATAAAGAACACACTCCGATTTCCCCTGTGCCTCTGGAATACAAGAGATGCATCTGTTCAGAGCTGATTTGGGGGCAGGTGTCTGAATCTGGTGCTAACACCTGTCCCTCCTGGGTGGCCTGTGACAGGATTGTTTTGTTCTCAAGTTTATATCCAAATGGGTCATCTTCCCCTGGAGCTGTGGTGCCAGCACCAACACCAGCCCTAAGGGAGCAGGGACATTTGCCTTGACAGAGTGTGTGACAGGAGAAGCCCACTGGGCTCTAACCCCACACAAGGAACCACAGGCAACTGAGGAATCCCGAGGGTAGGAGAAACAGTCTTCCCTGGGAGGAGCACACCACTTGGTCAGTCCTAAAATCACACACACAGTAACATCACATGGACTGAGAAGGGTGTGTTTGTGTGTTTAGGAATGTGAACACATAAACACATATGCACATAACTGTTAGTGACAAAAGACAGAAAAGGGGGATATGCAGGAGAAAGGAGAAAACAATTTAATTATATTAATCTAAAAAACATGAGGAGTCCCACTGATTATAAGCCACACTTAAGGGCAGGCTGCATGCCCAGCAGTAGATGATCCCACAAAGTGAGCTCAATGGTATCTTAGAGTTGTTTTGTCTGTTTGCTTTATGCCTTACAGATCTTTTGCTCATATGCTATGGTTTCAGATTTTGTGTTTGTTATGTTATCCATGTGTTTCTTATGGATTTTCTTTGGCTTGTGTGTGTGTGTGTGTTTCTATCATAATTTCCCCCTTTTTTCTTAGTTGTCTGTTTCTAGGGGGAGAAGGAAAGAAAGAAGAGGATTTCAGTGGGTGGAGAGTTGGAGTAGATCTGTGGGGAGTTGAGGGAGGGAAACTGTGATCAGAATATACTGATAGTATTTAAAATAATAATGATGATGATGATGATGATGATGATGATATAGTGGGAGACAAAATGTCCAATCGACCTCTGTATCCTCCTCCCAGGATGTGGAGTTTGTAGACGAGGGTTAAAGAAAAGTGCGGGCCCCTCCTCTCATATTAAATCCTCCAAACAAAACAAACCAACAAACAAAAACAGAGACAGGGATAGGCAGAGAGTGGGGGAGGGGGAGGGAAGGAAGAGAGAACTGAGTCCCTCTGTCTCTCCCTGTTTACATCCCTGTACATCCTGAGGCCCGGGTTAGGACTTGTCCTGGGCTCTGACGTCAGAGGTGGCTGAGCGAGCTTGGGTCCGGTCATTCGGGGCAGCTGAAGAGGATAATTCCCGTCTCCACAGCTCGGTTCCTGTTACAAGCTAAATCCGAGTGTCGTTTCTACAACGGGACGCAGCGCGTGCGGTATCTGGATAGAGCCATCTACAACCAGGAGGAGTACATGCGCTTTGACAGCGAGGTGGGCGAGTACCGAGCCGTGACCGAGCTGGGGCGGCCTGAAGCCAAGTACTTCAACAGCCAGAAGGAGTACCTGGAGCAGAAGCGGGCCAACATAGACGTGTACTGCAGACACAACTACAGGATTATGCACAGCTTCACTGTGCAGCGGAGAGGTGAGGAGTGAGGGGTGGGGAGTGGGATCAGGGTGGGCGGAGGTGGGCGAGCAGGAGGAGGGAGCACGCATGTGCCTGTGTGGACATGAGCATGCCTGCCGGAGCCCGCAGAGGCTGCCAGGGGTCCTGGAGCTGCAGCCTCAGGTGGTTGTAAGTGTTCTGGGCACAGAACTCGTGTCCTCACCCGGAGCTGCAGCGCTGTTAACCGCTGGACTCTCAACCATCAATCACTAATTTAAAAAATGCTCTACATGCTTGTCTACAGCCAGATGTTATGATGGCAATTGCTAACCTGATGTTTCATATTCTAATGAGACTTTAGCAGTGTCAGCTTGACATAAAACTGTCCAGGGTAGGTTGTGATGGTGAAAATTCCAAACCCGGTTTCCAGAACACAAGGTGGGGGTGGGTGGGGGTGGGGTTTCTTCACGAAGCTTGAGAAGACTGTAGAGAGATGGCCTGAAAATAAGAAAAGGAAAACAAAACTTCTTTACACTAATTGTAAGGGAGGGAGGGAGATGGACAACGATAAGCCCTATGAATGTCTGCTACACAGTGTTGTCAGGTCAAAAATAATCAGAGAAACGGCCCTGCTTCTTTACTGCTAATAGGATTCTCCTCCTGTACCACTGTAGGCAGCTCGTCCCCCGCTCTGCACGGGTCAGGGTGCAGACACCAGCATAGCCCACAACTCCTGCAGCTCATACTGACAGGCCCCTGCTGAGGTGCCTGTGAATCCCTGTGTAACAGACACTAAGTGAATGTTGACGCAAGATATGGCAAAGTTGATTTATGTAGAGTTTGGCAAAAACAGCTGAGAAAGGAGTTCTCCCTAAGTCTCCCTGACCCTCACACACAGAACTGTCACCATCTACAGACAAGAAGAGACAGAATCAGGGACACCCGCGTGTAATTCAGCTGTTGGGGAAAATTCCACAGCTGGGGATGAGCCTTTCTCTCACCGCTAGGGCGTTCACCTCCAGCCGGTGATTCCTCCAGGGTGTGCAGCTGACAGCTGCGGTGTGAAAACAGAACCAGAGTCCTGGGACAGCTGTGCTAGAATCTCAGTTCCCCCCTGGACTTCAGCCTGGGTGGACGGAGACAGACAGACAGGCACCTGGGAGGACAGCCCCGCCCTCATGACTCACTCTCACCCCCTTTGTCCTCTTAGTTGAGCCCCGGGTGACCGTGTACCCGACAAAGACGCAGCCTCAGGAGCACCACAACCTCCTGGTCTGCTCTGTGAGCGGCTTCTACCCCGGCCACATTGAAGTCAGATGGTTCCGGAATGGCCAGGAGGAGAAGGCTGGGGTCGTGTCCACGGGCCTGATCCGGAATGGAGACTGGACCTTCCAGATCCTGGTGATGCTGGAGACGGTTCCTCAGAGTGGAGAGGTTTATACCTGCCAGGTGGAGCATCCCAGCCTGAGCAGCCCTGACACAGTGGAGTGGAGTGAGTGGGAAGCCCCTGTCCCTGGGAGTCCCCGCCCACCAGGGAGGGGCGTGGCTGACCCCACCTATCAGCTCTCTCTGCCCACAAACTGTTTGCACTGGTCTGTGCTGACCCCTCCTTCAGCATGGCTCACAGGGTAGGTGTGTGATCTACAGCACCTTGGCCCCCTGGGAAGCAGTTTTGCCAACACACACTCTTCTGAGCCTTCCAGTGACACCACATCCCAGGGACCTGCTTGTCCCTGGCTGCAGCCTCTGCCTCTGGCTGGGCTGTGTTTCTGCTGCTGCTCATGGAGATGATGGACAAGGAGCAGCATGGGGTCATGACTGACCTCAGGGGTGTCCAGTCTCAGCTCTGCCTGTGCTTAGCTCTGTCACCCTCAGGACGGTGCAGCCTCAGAGCTCAGAGGCTTCCTGTCAGCTCAGCTCAGTGTGAACACATAAAGTCTCTTCATGCTGTGACCCTCCTGCTGTTTGATTTCTTTCCAACATCAGCAGGGTGTTCAATTCCTGCTCTTCTAGAAGAGGCTTTTCCCCCAGGTTCTATGCTCTGTATCTCAAGGTCCCAAGGGGAAAAGAAAATTTGGGTGAAAACCTCTAGTCCTGGCTTCCTTTCTCAGGGGCTCAGTCCACATCTGCACAGAACAAGATGCTGAGTGGAATCGGGGGTTTTGTGCTGGGTCCGCTCTTCTTCATGCTGGGGCTGTTCATCAACTTCAGGAGTCAGAAAGGTAAGGGGCCTGGTGTTGGCTGAGACCCCATAGCATTTCTGGGAAGAGCCATGCTTTGTTCTTGGGATGTCACCGGGTGTGACCTCAGGTTTTAATCAACTCTGTACCCAACAGTCTGGGTTACTGGATTGAACCCCAAGGAGCGATAACATATAGGGACAGGGAAAGCTAAGGCGATTCTGACTTGAGACCTGGGAACAGAGGAAGAGAGAAGGACAGGCACTGGGCCGTGTGCCTGAGGCTTCCTGAGCCATCTTTCTGTCCTCAGTGTGCTCTGTTCTGACTGCTGTGGGCCGTGATGGCAGAGGGATCCCAGGTGTCAGCTCAGAGTCTGGGGACATGTGTCTGGGGACAGATTTCCCTCCATGCACTTAAGTATCTCTTTTATTCTCTTTTCTAGGAAAGTCTGGGCTTCAGCCAACAGGTAAAACTCTTCAGTCTTCCCGCAGAGACAGATCTGCTTTCCTTATAATGTGGGATTGAGATTGATGGGCACCACCCAGGAAGACCAGGGAAGGCTGATTCCCCAGGGCCTGGCCAGGCGGTTTGCACTGAGCCTTGTTCCCTGCGCTTACAGAAGGCCTGTGCTCTGAAGCAGCATTGACTTGGGGCATGAGACGTTCTCTCTGCTCACTGCCATGAGTCAGGAGAGGCCTGAGGGGATGACAGAAGCCATTGCAGAGTGAGGTCTGGAAACACCTCTGTCCCTGTGCTCTGCAGGACTCCTGAGCTGACTGAGGTGACAAGGCTGAAGGAAGGAGCTTCCTGTCTCCATGGCTCCAGTTCCTCCATTGACGATGCTGCCCCAGGACCTGGCTCCTCCTGGCTCTGGATCCTGCAGACCCGTGCTCCCTGATGGCTGACTCAGCCCCTGCTGGAGCCTGACAGCACAGGACAGACGTCCCCTCCCCTCCCCTGTCCATCTTATTTTTGTCCCCTGCATTTTGTGTGAGCTTCTGAGCTAGGCTGTGTTATAATGCTTTCTTACATTTTTGTCAAATAAACAAAGAATTAAAATCTCCTGCTTCACTGATTTTTAAGGATAAGAAATAACCAGAGAAAGAAACAGGTCACCGTAACTCTCTGTGCATAATAAACCAGGCAGATAACATAAGAAATAAATTCAGCATTATGTATTACTTGTTAATTTGATTATTATAAAATTGGATTGAATTTTAAATGACAACATGTGATCAGATCAAACACAGTTATTTAGGCACACCAGAAGAGAATCCGTGAGAGGCTGTGGGACAATAGGAAACCCATAAGCCAGTCTTTAGCGGGAGTGCGTTTCCATCCCTGTGTGCCTGCTATAATCCCCCCACAGCACCATGTTTGTCCTATGACCACACTGAGCCTAAAGGGAAATGCCAACCAAGACAGTGTGGCCATATTTGCTGGGACTCCCAGAGAAGGGACACACAGGCGTGTGTTTCCCAAACCAGCAAGGGAGACAGTTAGGACTTGTCCTGGCAGTAACTTGTGACAGCACTGAGATCACAAACTGACAACACTGAGATCTCCCCCCAGGCTGGCCAAGCAGACCCGGGCAGCCACATCAGGCTCCTCCTCATCCTCAGTCCTGACTGTGCTCACCAGGTGTCTCCCTCCTCCCTGTCTGTTATGCTGACCCTGGCATGGCCTCCTCAGCCACACACCCAGCATGACACAGTGTCTCCTGCCCTCTAGTCCAGCATCTCTTCCCAGGGCCCCTCTGGTCTCCCTGTCCTGAGCTTCCCACAGTCACACAGCCACAGTATCTGATCTGTAGTTACTGACTCCACGGCAGCCAGAGAAAGCTTCTTGCTTTGAACCCACTCTGGAGAGCAACATGAATGCTGTGCCTTAGTTCATGTGAAAACAGTCCTGTGGATTCATGCGTAAAGTTCAGGGTCTACAGCAAAGGTCTGTGCAGACTGATCCAGGTTTCCAGAAACCAACACAGCTGCCCTCCCTCAGGAGACCAGCTCCGTTCTGCCTCCTCACACTCAGCAGCGGTGGAGAGACTGTCTCTGCTTTGCCCTCAGTGGGGGAGTTCAGACCAGATGACCACAGTTTGGGGACATCTGTCCCATTGTTTTACCTGAATGATCCTTATCTTAAATGAATACTGAAGGAAATCAAGAAATGTTCGTTTAAATCTGCCTGCTTTTGGCACTCACAAGTTATAGAAGCAATGTACAGATTTCAGTTCATGTATGCATCTTACGAAAGAAAAGGTTTGGCGGGCTGGCTCAGTGGTTAAGAGCACTGACTGCTCTTCCAGGGTATCCTGGTTCAATTCTCAGCACCCACATGATGGCTCACAAGTGTCTGGTTTTCAGATTCCAGGGCAGCTGTGCCCCCTCCTGGCTTCTATGGGCACTGCAGACTGAACACTCATATACATAAAATAAAAAATCTAAATCCTAAATATAATTGTATGTCATTTATAAATTATCAAAACGAGATGAATGAGTTTTCAAAGAATTCTTTTTTAGATGTAACTTACTGTGTTTCTGACAATATTTTTCTGCCATTTTGATTATGTAATTCTCAGGAAAGCTCCCCTTATCTTCCCTCAATCAGCACACATCACAGGGGCAGGACCCAGGTATCTCCTTCTCTTCTCCCTCATTCTCTCTCATCTCTCATTCTCTCTCGAGCCTAGATTCTTGCTACATTTTATTCTGTTTGCCTGCTGGCCCCACCCATCTCTCTACTGCCCAGCTATTGGCTATTCCACTTTTTGTTAGACCAATCAGGTGCCTTGGGAAGGCATAGTGCAACAGCAGCCCATCCTCTATATAATGAAACAAATGAGCAGAAACAAATGTAACACATTTTTACATTGTTAACAAAGGCAACAGACACAAATGTAGTGCATCTTTGTCCAGTGAAAATAATAGTCCACAAAACCCATGTGAACTCACGGAGACTGTGGTATCATGGATAAAACCTGCCCCGGTTCACTCCAGAAGGATCCCAGTCTGAGATGAGAAAGTAGACAGAGGGTCCTGCACTTAACTAAGGAGTTAACTGTAATGGTATTGTCACAGGGCACTTCAATCACACACATATCAGGGCAGACTCTTGCCCAGGAGCAGCCAACAGAAAATGAACTCAATGGTATTTTGCAGAATTTATTTTTCTCATTTGTTTGCTTGGGCATTTTTTGTCTTATCTGCTTTTCCTTATTTGTTTTGATGTTCATCTTACTCGTGTTGGGTGGATATATATGTTTCTTGGTTTTTGTTTGTTTTGCTGGTTTTGAGAGAGATAGAGGGGGGAGAGAAAACATAAAGCTGGGTGAGGATGGGGGTGGGAAGGAGCTGTAAGGAATTGAGGGAAGGGGAAGGATGATCAACATATATTCTATGCAGAAAATTCTTTTATTTCAAGTTTAAAAGAAAGCCTTTGTTACAGCTCTGAGTACAAAGTCAGCTGCCCCAAAACTTGGTCAATTAGTTCCAGTGATTTTCATTGTGGGGCAGCAAATTATGCCCTGAGAAATGTCAAGATAAAGAGTGACCATCAGAACAGAGGGAATTAATATCAGGGTTCCTATACTGCACTGTCACTCAAAGTACATTCTTAATCTAAGTCATTGTGTTTATAGTAATATAATGTGTAATTATTTTGCAGTATGTACGGTAATATATTATTCATGACTTATTAAAGCTTGCCTGAGGATTCAGAAAGCAAAGTCAGCAACAAGTCGAAGAAGCCAGGCACACCCCTTTAATCCTAGGACTCAGGATTAAGAGGTACATGAATCTCTGTTAATTCAAGGCCACACTGAGCTGCATGAAATGGACCCAGTTCTAAAGAGAAACAGCTCACATACACATGACCTCAGCACCTGGGATCACACGGTTTTAATCCCAGAACTCATGAGAGTTATTTACAGTAGGAGCAGGTGTCAGAGCTGGCATTCATTCTCCCGCCACGTTGAGGAGAGCATAGCAGTCTGGGATTGCAGTCTGAGGTTGGGTGGAGATGCATTGCTTTTCTGGCCTTCAGCTTGAAGCTTTAGTATATCATACATAATATACCACCACAAATACGAGGTTCACATTTCACAAACAGTATGATGTTGTTTATTTATTGTAATCATACTTTATGATTAGTGAGTGTCTTCCTAAACACTTTATATGCATCCATTAGCAAGACTTCTGTGCTTTTTGGGGATAAAGCCTGAGGGGAATAAGGAGGGAGGGATTTCCCTCAGGGAATGGGGAAGTCGCTATGGGAACCACAGTAGGGACTGGCCTCCCACAGGTTGAATCCTCCCATGCAGACTGACAGTGTCAAGGCTGACCTGAGTCAGAACAGCGGTTCAGCACGATGTCCATTCAAGAGCTGCAGATGCAAACTGATCTACACTTTACAGCCCTCAGCTGAAGCCCTCTGCTTAACAAAGGAACCTGGAAACTTCAGAAAGACCTTCATACTGAACCTCTGCCCCCCAACTGATGATGCTGCCCCCTTCTGCTGCTGATTGGTTCTCCTGCACTGAGGTGCCCAGCCAGGCACCAGTGGGCTGAGCCACTCTCAGTCCCCAGTCAGCCAGGCTGGCCTGCTTCTCTGGCCACCATCCTCTCCTCCACAATGATGGGTCTGTGTCTCCCCAGAGGCCCCTGTGTAGCAGCTGCGGTCCTGACGCTGATGGCCCTGAGCCCTCCTGTGGCTTTGGTCAGGGACCCCCGACGTAAGTGCACACCTCAGGGTAGCTGCTGTGGTGGGGAAGGCAGAAAACTAGCTTCATTTGGTCAACACTAGGTCTTTTAAAATTGTCATTTCCTTCCTTTGACTCCTTCCTGCCAACATAGGAATTGATTTAAAGGATTGGGTGCCCCTTTAAGACCTGTGAATGGAATCCCACATGGGTCCTGTCCTCCTCCTTCCTCATGAGACCCCTCCAGCCTGACATCACATTTCCCAGGGGCTGGAAAAGATGAAGAAATCAGGTGTTAAAATGATGAACTGTCCAGAATTTCACCAAAATAGTAACATAATTGAAAAATAAGGAAAGAAAGGAAATGAGCAATTGAGAGTAATGGAGGCTCTGTCCTAGAAGACTGTGTTGTGCCGTCACTGGGGTCTGCGTCATTAGAACATCTGGCTAATATGCTGGGTGGGGGGTCATGGCATCTTCTCTTCTCCCAGAACCCCAGTGTTTATGAGTCCTGCACCCTGTGATGGAGGTGCTGTCATGAGAGGTAGTTAGTGTTCTCTCTCTCCTGTTCAAGGGGCCCTGCCGCTCTCTCTCTACAGATGAATGGACTCTGGACATCTCTCTACTGTCAAAGGGACCCCAGAGCTCTCTCTCTCTCTACTGTTATAGGGACCCTGGAGCACCCTCTCCTTTCTCTCTCTGTCTCTCTGTCTCTGCCTCTGTCTCTGTCTCTGTCTCTGTCTCTGTCTCTGTCTCTCTCTCTCCTGTCAAAGGTTCCCTGGAATTCACCCTGGAACTTAACCCTTGTGTCAGCCTCCTAGACAGGAGCATGCATAGTGTGCTCTTGGTGCCTTGAAGACTTAACGTTTCCCCTGACAACCTGTCACAGGCTGGTGTCCGCGTTCCTTGGAACCAGCCTACCCTGTTTCTCTGGTGCCTGCCGTTTCCTGCCTGAGTGTAAGGGAGAGGATTCAACTGGTTTTAGATATGAAATTATATTTTTGTATATCAGCAGTGGCCAGAATCAATAATTGCACAGGGTTCAATCTGCATACTCTGAGCAGGGGTACAGACAGTGTGAAGGCTGCTAACATCTCCCAGGTTAGAAGCCAATCAGCAAATAAACGTCACTGGGGGACTGGTGTTTCCAACACACTAACTTTAGAGGACATTGACACACTGGAGCATGAGGGCTCCAAATCCATGTCTATCTTTCTTGCACAATACCAGGGAGTGGCCACTCGGGGTGTCAGGGAGCCTCCCCCTATGGCTTATCTGGCCCCACTCAACCCAGCTGCTCCCCTGTGTAGTCCAGTGATGAATCTCTCACATGGATATCCTTGGTTTTGCCTTATGGGGACTCTGTGGTGGCCTTAGTCCTGTGGTCCCCAGGTGATGCCTGGTTGAGTTCTCTCTGTGGTAGCCCAAACCTTACAACTAAACCTGGGTCATGCTCCATGTGACATCTGGATGGAAACCCCCATGGCCGACAGCTCTTGCTCTCAGTGCTCCTGCAGATTTAGTGCACATTGAGGCCTCCACAGTTAGTAGCTGTGACCTCTGGACTGATTGTGAAGTCACATGTGCACCTCCTGGTGCTGTGGACGGGTAGGGCGGGGGACCCTGTTTCAGGTGAGGGTGGAGACCTGAGGACATGAGAAGGGACAGCAGGTGGTGAAAAGGGCAGCATCAGAAGACGGGCCTGAATGGTTTCTGTGCCGGATTTGTTTTAACTGTCAACTTGACACAACTTGAATTATATCACCTGGGCAGTGCATCTTAATGAGGAATTATCGCTATCAGGATGTCCCGTGGGCAGGTGAGTGAGGGACTGAGTATAAGTTGGTGGGAATGCCTGGGTTCAGCACCAAACTCTAAGCCAGTGTGTTACAGCTCTGGAGCTGCAAAGGTGTCCTGACTTGTTGGGAAGCCAGGCTCCCTGAAGCTGGGGTGCGATGGGGATGGTCTCCCCTGCCCTGCTTCTCTCCTAGACAAAGAATGGTTACAGCTGAGCCCTGCTCTGTTCCCCTAACTGAACATCCTTGCATAGCTATGCGCTTCTTAGGCTCAAGTCGGCTGATGAGGGAGCCCCGGCAGAAATGTAGCAATCTCCTGGGGTTCCACTGAAAAGTTGTTACCATTTCTGCTACAGTCTTTCTGAGTTCCCTAAGGGAACCTCCCAGCCAGTTCTTCTATTCTACGCTGCTGGTGAAAGATCTTCACCCTAGACTCTTTTGACAAAGACATTTATTTGGGAAGGAGGAGTCAAGGAGAGAGGTTGCCTAGGCCAGGCTGGAAGGGACAGACAGCAACTGTACAGGCAGAGGAGGTTTATATGGGGCTTCATAGGGGCAGAATTTTCCCAGTGAGAAGATTTTCTACTCAGGGATTGGTTAGTTTTTCTGCTCAGGCATTGGTCAGTTTAGTGGGTTGGTGGCAGAGATGGCTCTGATTTGAGGAGCCAAACTGTGTTTCTTTTCCTGGCTTTGTTTTTCTGGCTCTAGTCTTGGGGCCAGAACATTTTTCTTGTACTGGCTCTGATTCTAGGGACAAAGTGTGTTTCTTTGGCATCAATTTCAGTGTCAGGGTGTTCTTCTTTGGGTCTGAGTTCAGGGATGAAATGTTTCTTTCATTGGCTCAGGTTCAGATCCCGGGTGTGTTTCTTTCATTGGCTCTGGGATCATAGTCGGGGTGCTCAGGAATTCTTTGTCTTTCTGCTCAGGGATTGGTCGATTTACTGTCTTGGAGACAGTGTTTGCTCTAGGGTTAGGGACAACGTGGATTTCTTAGACTGACACTTTTACCCTCCATTGTCTGGATTGTTACCTGATGTAGGTAGACTCAGCCATGTGTGGGTGACACCATTCCCTAGGCTGGGGGCCCTGAAGAGCATTGGAGTAGAGGAAGCTAGATGAGAGATGGAAGGATCCATGTGTTCAGTCTTTCTCTGCTCCTGACTGGACATGAGGTTGTAAGTTCTCACCTTGACTTGCAGGCAGCCATAGACGGTACTCTGAATTTGTCATGCAAGCAATCCCTGTCTCCCCTACACTGTCTTTGTCAGGATATCTTCTCACAGCCACAGTGACAAAACTCAAGTTTCCCTCTGCCTCAGTTGATCAAGATGGACTTGTGGTGTGGGCAGTTGGGAAGTAGAGGGTGCAGGAGGTGAGTTCCTTGCAGGTGTCATAGTTCCCTTGGCTGACCTCCCAGTTTTGGACATTGCTTGAATCCCCTCCCAGAGGGCCTGTAATAGAGCATGTTGCTGTCCCCACAGCACGTTTTCTGGAGCAGCTGAAGGCTGAGTGTCATTACCTCAATGGGACAGAGCACGTGAAGATTGTGACCAGATTCATCTATAACCAGGAAGAGTTTGTAAACTTTGACAGTGACATTGGGAAGTTCCTGGCAGTGACTGAGCTCGGGAAGCCCATAGCTGAGGACTTGAACAGCCAGAAAGAAGTATTGGACCATTATCGGGCCTCAGTGGACAGGTGCAGAAATAGCTACAGACTTGTTGATTGGTTCCTGTTGAACGTAAAAGGTAAGCATTGGTCTGGAGGTGCATAGGTGAAAGTGTTGTAGTGTGTGTGTGTGTGTGTGTGTGTGTCTGTGTCTGTGTGTGAAGGGGGAGACAAACAGAGAGGTGAGAAAGACAGAGAGACCCAGAGAACAGAATGGCACATTGTGTGTTTGGAGATCACCAAACAGCCTGGATGAGACATTCTCTCCTTCCACCCTGTGTGTCCTTGGATTTGAACTCAGGTCATCTGTCTTGGCAGCAATCACTTCTAACTGATGAACCATCTCACTGGCCCTAAATGTAGTGACCTGTTAGATTCTCTTCCTCAATCCCCTGGGAGTCACCTCTCTCTGCACCTGTTTCCTAGGGTGGAGTCATCCCTGAGTTATTATAGGGGTGTGTGCACTGAGTTTCTGTGCCCGTGGTCCATCTATACTGCCTTCAGTTGACACACTGGGATATTTCAGCTCAAGGATTATTGTTTCAAGCTATAAAATAAAACCACAGATTTCCTGAAAACCACAGGCCCTGACATCAGGATTGAGGTTACAGGAAGGTTTAGCAGGTCTGTCTGTAATTCAGTCTGTGTGGACAGAGGCAGACAGACAGACAGCCACCCCGGGAGTACAGCTCCACCCTCATAACTTACTCTCACCCCCTTTCTCCTCTAGCTGAGCCCCATGTGACCGTGTACCAGACAAAGACGCAGCCCCTGGAGCACCAAAACCTCCTGGTCTGCTCTGTGAGTGGCTTCTACCCCGGCCACATTGAAATCAGATGGTTCCGGAATGGCCAGGAGGAGAAGACTGGAGTCGTGTCCACAGGCCTGATCCGGAATGGAGACTGGACCTTCCAGATCCTGGTGATGCTGGAGACGGTTCCTCAGAGTGGAGAGGTTTACACCTGCCAGGTGGAGCATCCCAGCCTGAGCAGCCCTGACACAGTGGAGTGGAGTGAGTGGGAAGCCCCTGTCCATGGGAGTCCCCGCCCACCAGGGAGGGGCGTGGCTTACCCCTCCTGTCAGTTTTCTCTGACCCCATGAACCCCCACCTACCAGGGAGGGAGCTTGGATTATTCTACAGAGAAAGATGCATAGATTTTCCAAGTTACTGGCTTTTATTCCTCACCTAGTTCAATCTCTACACCCTTTATACTGGCTGATCAAGATGGAGCAAAATGGAAATTCGTTGAACAATAAAATGTTTAGGTAGTTTGGGTGAAGGCTCCGGGCACCCTCTGCCAGATGTGTCTATGAAGACAGATATCCTCAGTACAGCACCCATCATGAGCTAGGTTCTCTGGTCAGAATTGGAACAAAGTGTACCTCTGAAGTTTGAGCACTAATCCCAGAAAGGAACTGAAGTTAGAGAAACCTCTTCAAGACAGCAGCTCTAAAGAGTCAAGTGGAGTCCCGGCTGGCCTCGGATTCAACATCCCCCTGCCTCACCTCGCTCAGGAAATTCTACCAGTGTATGCCACCCAGCACTCAGGAGGCAGAGGCAACATCATCTCTGTGAGTTCGAGACCAGTCTGGTGTTCAGAGTTAGTTCCAAGACAGCTAGGGCTACACAGAGAAACCCTGTCTCAAAAAATAAAATGAAATGAAATAAAATGAAACAAAAGAAGTAATGTGTAGCTGCTGGCCAGGGCTTTACTCCCATAGCCCGGAGGTGAATACAGATGAGAGACAGAAACAGACACATCTCTGAGTTTGAGGCCAGCCTGGTCTACAGAGTTCCAGGACACCCAGAGTTACACAGAGAATCTCTGTACTGGGAAAAAAACAACACCAAAAGAGGCAGAAAATAATCAGTTTCACCAAGCAGCTCTCCATGGTGCTGAGGACTCCTGAGTAAGATGTATGCCCTCCACAACAGAGCTGCAGATATTGGCCTAGTTGTTTATAAACCCAAGCGGCCGCCCCAGTTCATCCCACAAGTCCAAGAGAAGGCGTCTCCACTCCTGACAGTGTCTGATGTACAGATGTGTCCAGCAGGGGACCCAAGAGTCTGGAAGGCTCTGCTGCTGCAGGACCAAGGGCTGATGACTCTGTCTGCCTTGAGACCAGACGCAGTCAGTAGCAGGATAAAGGCAAAGGGCCACTCTGGGTTTGGGTGACAATTACTCAGTTCCCCTTGGTGTTGTTCCACTCTGAACCTGCGTCTGTGTCTGCTGCCCTCGGAAAAGCCTGCAGGTAGCACGGTTGACTTCTTGGTCTGCGGTGCTCCCTCACTGTTGGTTGTAGAGACCACTCGTGGATCCCGTGTAGTTGGTGAGCATGCGCAGTAGACAACACACCCAGCTGCCAGCTGCTACTACTGCCCTAGCAGAAATTATGTCATGAGTTTCGTCATGAGCCATAGTGTAGATTTATAAAGCAAACCAGACATTAAAATTCCCATCATGGCTGCTGCAGTCTTCCACTTATGTTGTTTTGTCTGATTCTGAAATTCCTTTCCAGGTGTGGTCAGGTCTGGCTCCCCAGTGCTCTGAATATCAGGACCTCAATGAGGGGTGTTTTCTATGTGATAAAACCCACACCTGGCTTCTCTCCGCAGGAGCTCCATCGACATCTACACAGAACAAGATATGGAGTGGGGTTATATTCGTGCTGGGTCTGCTGCTGCCCATAGGACAGTTCATGTACTTCAGGAACCCAAGAGGTAAGGAGTCTGGTAGGGGCCAGTAGTCCCCATAGCATTCCAAGGAGGGTCTTGACTTCCTAAGGTTTGTTATCGGGCATCAGGAGAACCTCTGTGAAGCTGGCTGTCACCTGAGCTACCTCAAACTCTATAAAACTTCTGGACTCAACACTCTGTGGCTGCTGAGTGCAGCCTGAGGAACAGTGACGCGTAGACAGGAGGAAGATGAGCCGGCCTGGAAGAACAGACTGGGAAACGCAGAGGAGAGGGTTGGGGGCCCTGCCAGGGCCTGGCCAGGGGGTTTGCACTGAGCCATGTTCCCTGCGCTTACTGAAGGCCTGTGCTCTGAAGTAGCATTGGGGCATGAGACGTTCTCTCTGCTCACTGCCATGGGTCAGTAGAGGCCTGAGGGGGTGAGAGAAGGCACTGCAGAGTGAGGTCTGGAAACACCTCTGTCCCTGTGCTCTGCAGGACTCCTGACTGACTGAGGTGACAAGGCTGAAGGAAGGAGCTTCTGCTGTCTCCATGGCTCCAGTTCCTCCATTGACAGTGCTGCCCCAGGACCTGGCTCCTCCTGGCTCTGGACCCTGCAGACCTGCGCTCCATGATGGCTGACTTAGCCCCTGCTGGAGCCTGGCATCACAGGACAGAAGTCCCCTCCTCCCCTGTCCTTCCCCCTCGTATTCCCCTGTCCTTTGTCTTGTGCATACGAGCCCATCCTGTGACAGGATCCCTCATCACTTTCTTCCTCAAATGAGCATGCGGGTTTGAAGACAGATATAGAAATCAGAGAGGAAAGATTACATCACCACAACATGGCTTTCATTTAGTTATAAGTATATGCGGTAATGCACATGCTGATTCTGAATTAAATATGTGTGTGTGTGTGTGTCCGTGTGTGTCTCTGTATATGTGAGTGCCCGTGTATGTGTATGTACATGTAGTGTTTGTGTCCCTTTACGTGTCTGTGTATATGTCTGTGTGTGTATCCCTGTGTGTGTGCATGTATGTGTGAGTCTGTGTGTGTATCAATCTCTGTGTGTGTGTCTGTGTGTGTGTGTGTGTGTGTGTAAATCAAACAGCATACTCTACCCTGTAATCACATATGTATCCCTGATTGCACTACAGACTAGGCTGGCCTCAAACTCACAGAAATCTACCTGCCCCTGTCTCTGATAGGTTAGAATTAAATGCATGTACTACCACACCCAACTGGCTTGAACTTTTCTATTAAAAAATCAAAGGCAGTTCCTAAGCATTGAAAACAACCATAGAGATGTAAACAAGTGTGACAGTGTAAACAGCAGGGATCAGGCTGTCATAGTAACCCACAACATAGCACGAGGCTGATCAGATGTCTTAATGACAACACTGTGCAAATGAGTTCAGATTGAGCCTGAGATTAGGCTCACACAATGGACATCTGTCCCTCTGTGGACTGGCTCTGAGAGAGATGCTGAGTATTGGATCCACTGAGATCTGAAGAATTAGTTTCAAAGTATATCCAAGAAGGGGGCCATCGATAAAGGTTCCTGGCTGGCAGTCACCTTCAGTCACCTCCTTTGCTCCCACAGGCTTCAGACACACAGATGAGCTTGCAGCAGCCCTGTGTAGGAGGTGAGCGCTCCCCAGTGCAGAGTGAGGGATGAATGAGGGACTGCGGTGGAGCTGGCTCAGCACTGCGGCCTGATTAATGTCTCAGCTGCAACTGGATCAATCAGTAAAAACACCAAATAAAAAAATCCTTTGAGGAAGTAAACCTGTATACTTTGTCATACAGTGTTTATTCTTTGAAAGAGTTGTGCATGTATACAATGTATTTCGATACTGTTCACCACCACTATTTTCTTCCAGCTTCCCCTGGGACCTTCCCACACGTCTCCTTCCCAACTTCATTTCTTCTTACAAAACAAAATTAAAAGTTCACTGAGTCCAGTAAGCGCTGTCCACACGCACACAGATGTGGGACCCATCAACAGGGGACGAGAACTACCAACCAATGTCCACCCTGACCCAAAAAATAACTATCCTTTTGTTTGGTTCTTAGTTTGTTTGCTGGTTTGAGATATGTTCTTACAGTGTAGACTAGGCTGGCCTCTAACTCTCAGAAACACAGCTGTCTCTGCCTCCCAAGTGCTGGGGTTGGAGTCTTGGGCCACCAGGCCAGACTGAGTGTCCTTTTAATGAAGGGGATTGCAATTGTAGGTTTCAGAAGGGTCCTTCATACTGAATCCCTAACCAGCAACTGATGATGCTGCTCTACTCTGCTGCTGATTGGCTCCTCACACTGACTTTACTCCATCAGCAGCAGAGCAGTGACTGCCCTGGCTCTTACTATCCTGCCAATGAGTAAAGCTGGGAGACAGTTTCTCCTGTGTGAGTTTGTCTGCTCCTCCTATTCGGGTCTCTCCTCTCCTCCACCATGATGCCGCTGTGGCTCCCCAGAGGCCCCTGTGTGGCGGCTGTGGTCCTGGCACTGATAGCCAGGATCCCTCTGGTGGCTTTGGTCAGGGACCCCCGACGTAAGTGCACATCTCAGGGGCTGGGCTGCTGGGGGTAGGGGAAGGAAGGGTCTGACTTCCTCACTGTCCAGGTCAAGCCCCTTGAGTCTACTGATATTTTCTCCGACCACCCACATCCTCTCATGTCATCCAAACTATTTCCCCAAATAGGAGTCTGGATGTTTGTTCTTTCAGATCTGTGTGAGAGGCCTCCCCCCCATATCAGTCACTGCCTTTCAGTTTCTCCCAGAAACATCTCCAGCCTTGTGTCACATTCCCTCGAGGCCTGGAGAGGATTCATAAATCCTGATGTTAAATTACCTGCTTGCACAGAGCTTGCTGTCTTCATTGTGTTGAGCTATGTCAGAGAGGTTTCTCTTTAAAAATAGAATTTCATGTGTGTATCCTATTTGTGTATATGCTTCTATTACTTTACGCAACCAGAAAAGGCCAATATTGAATTAAATAAATGATTTCTCCGGGAGCATCACAGAGTCACGGGAACAGGGATGATCTCTGTAGGCTGTGAGGCTGCTGCCTGGATACTCAGGGCTCTGTCTTTCTGTCTCCCTGACTCCGGTGTCTATGCAGCCTGTGCCCATGGGGACCTGCTGCGGGTTGGGTCAGTTCCCTTTCTCCCTGGATCACACAGCAGCCAAGGCAGCCTTAGAGAGAGCTGGTGAGGTGAGTGCTGGCTTCCAGCTCCAGGTGGGGCAGGTGTGTTCAGAGAGGGGAGGTGTGGGGTCACAGGGGCAGGTGTGTGGTCACATGGGGCAGGTGTGTGGTCACAGGGGCAGGTGTGGGGTCACAGGGGGCAGGTGTAATCACAAAGAACACACCCCGATGCTCCCTGTGCCTCTGTAATTAAGGAGATACATCTGTTAAGAGCTGATTTGGGGGGAGGTGACCTGAATCAGGCGCCACCCCCTGTCCCTCCTGGAGCTGTGGTGCCAGAAGTGACACCCAGCCATAACTGAGCAGGGACGCTTGCCTTGACAGTGTGTGTGACAGGAGAAGCCCACTGGACTCTAACCCCACACAAGGAACCACGGGCAACTGAGGAATCCTGAGGGTAGGAGAAACAGTCTTCCCAGGGAGGAGCACACCTCTTGGTCAGTCCTAAAATCACACACACAGTAACATCACATGGACTGAGAAGGGTGTGTTTGTGTGTTTAGGAATGTGCACACATAAACACATATGCACATAACTGTTATGACAAAAGACAGAAAAGGGGGATATGCAGGAGAAAGGAGAAAACAATTTAATTATATTAATCTAAAAAACATGAGGAGTCCCAATGATTATAAACCACACTTAAGGGCAGGCTGCGTGCCCAGCAGATGA